TTGTTATTTTGTTATTATTTTTTATTTGTTATTCTCAGCCTTCTGACTTGCTATCTGCTGTTTCCTTATTGTTGATTGTGAGCTCATTGCTTCATTTTAATTTAGTGGAAGTTCTTTTAGTCTAACAGGAAAATGGAGAGCTGCTTCCTGCTGGTAGCCACAGATACCATTTCAGCCGCCTTTGAAAGTCCTGAGTCATCAGATACTGAAAACTTCTGCCCCCTTCTCATGGCTGGTCAATATTTAGCTTCCCAAGAGCTACTCATATACCCTCCGACACTCCCACCTTTCCTACATCTCTACCTCTGGCAAGGTTTTTGCACAGTTCCAAATCCTCAAGATTATAGTCCCGACTCAATATATTTTATTAAAATGAGAGATCTTTGAATACCTCTGCTACTTCTTGGAAGACCAGCACTCTCTCACGGAGTATGTCCTTTCCAGGGCTGTTTTGTTTTGGGCTTAGAGGGTCCTTAGAGCACCTAATCAGTGACAATCCCAGAAGTTGAAGACTAATGCTGTAGTTTTGTGCACTATTTTTTATTTATTAATTTGTGTTCACTATCATATCTCTTACAGTCAATGATATATAAGAAAGTTTCTCACTTGATTTTTTTTTCTGTTTTCTTACCTTACCAACTCTGTCTGAGCTGTTCCGTCTTCTTTTGAAGGAATAGCAAGTGTCAGTACAGATTTCACAATGAAAATATTTGACAGTAATTCCCCTAGACCCAGGTCTTTAAGGTGTTAGGTTGCTGCCTTGACTTGCTCCTTTCTTACAGTAGTGGAAGAGAACACAGAAAAAAGTTGGACTGATTGCTATTGAATTTTCATTCCATTATGCTTAGGCAGAAAATTCCTAGAAATGAGTTGATAATTAATAATTTTAAAATTTAATCTGTATTTGATTTTTTAGGGAGAAATTGGGCCTCCAGGACCACTAGGAAAAAAAGGAGCTCCAGGGATGCCCGTATGTTAATGTCATTATTATCAAAGTGTTTAAAATATTGTTACTACATAGCAGTAGTTCATATTCAGTGGTTCACAAAACTGTAGAAATACAGCAACGAGATTTTTGAAGTTCACTAATTCCATTCACTTGTATGAAAAATATTACATTTACGTCCATTTTTCTGGAGGGGTAAAGATTTCTTCAGATGCTTAAAAAGTTGGCCACCAAACATAGGTCAGAAACCCTTACTGTAGATAAATCAGAAAACAAATATGCTAGCTATAATATTAATTTTAAAAAATATTAAGTACCATGAGAAAGTCTAAAATTCAGTGAATGTTCTTTTTTCACTTTTTAAAAAATTTACAAATTTATTACACTGATAAAGGAGAACATGTTCAGAAGAGTTAGTGTGGGATGATCCTAAATCAGTGAGCAAATTATTTTAGATGTTTCAGGAATTGAAGGGACATATAAATTTGATATTAGATATTATGAAAATCCTGTCATGCATGTATAAAATTCCCAAAGTAAAATAATTTCTAAATTGCCAGAAGTGATGTTGATTTTAATCTATGAATCAAATTGCCTGTAATATTATAACTTTTTTTAAAGTAAAACAAATCACT